CTTGTGTGTTCATTCCTTTGTTTAGGAAACACGTGGACCCCAACAATTGCAATTTCCCCATCTTGATAAATTGGTTCTATCTGGGCAGCAGGCAAGAAGAGCCCGTTGTGTGGTTGCAATACCTACACCAATTCTAGGGAGTCAACCAGCATGAATTACAAGAGGTTCTATTGTCCCTTCTGCAGATAACCCCTTCCTCCCTCTGGCCCCAGGCAGTCTGGCTTTTGGCTATTTCTGATGTCTTTTCCCCTTCAAGGATGCCTTTAAAGTTCATTTTAATGTATTTAATCAGAATTAAAATGTTATAAAGGGAAGGCAAAATAAGCAGTATGTTCTGTCCACCCTGAGGCCCTCTGTTCCCTACTCCACTTTCCTCAGAAGAGCCCTGGAATAAGAGGTCTGTGGACACGTCCATTTGTTGTTTGTGAATGGCATGATCAGCGGTTCTCAAAGTGTGGTCCCCAGGCCAAGATACCTCAGGATCACCTGGCAACCTATTGGAAATGCAAAATCGCAAGCTCCAAGTCAGACCAACTGAATCGGAAATTATGGGCGTAAGGGGATCCATAATCTGTGTTTTAACAAGTCCTCCAGGTAATTCTGACGCAACTAAATGTGAGAACCATTGGTCTGGATAAATAGGAAAAAACTGCAAAAGTGTAACATATTTTGACGACTTTACAAGCAAAGTTAAAGCCTGACCTTCCCATACTCTATTAGCACTCCGCATATCCCTTTAAAGTAGCAGCTATCATATTCTATAGTTACTGCTTTCCACTGTCTTTGTACTAAACTGTGGTCTCTTAAGAGCAGGGACTGTGGCGTTTTCAATTGTCTCTAAGAGCATAGCACAGGATAAGTAAGTGCTTAAATGGAAACAAATGGTGTCATTTATTAAGAACAATTTGAACTTTCTTTTAAAATGCCTTATAGATGTCCCCCTTAGCAAACAAAATTGTTTATCTCTTTGTGCTGTAGACATACGTCTTCCCAAACACCCTACCTCAGTTGGGTTCTCTAGGTACTTAACGCTTTCCCATTGGTTATGAATTTCTACTGTTATTTGGGTTAAACTTTTGCAAGGCTTAAACTGCTGTTATACCACTTATATATTTGTTTGCTATATAGTCTCAGGAATTTTTACTAACTTAATGAAGCATCTCTATAACACTAATTTCCAACATTTATTATCATACTGTAGAGCTTATATATATAAAATATATATTACATATAATATATATATAATGATTATTAAAATTACTGTCAACGTGATAAGTACTTTATGTAAGCTCATTTAATCCTCACTAAAGCTCTGCAAGGGTATTTACAAATGAAGTCTACTTTACAAATGAAGAAACTGGGGCTCAAAAGCTTCAGTGTGCTGCTCATCTCAGATCTGTCTCCCATCCTCCATACTCACATATCCAACTATCTACTAGACATCACCTGGATGAACACAACTTGTGTAGAACTGATGCATCTTCTACCCCAAAGTTGTCTCTCCTCGTGTAACTCTTACCTCTTGAACAGCACTGCAATCCAGACCCTGGGGCCAGAAACTTGAGTCATTATTCACAGCTTTTGCTTCAACATTTCCCATATGCAATTGGTCCTCAAGTTCTTGCCATTCTACTTCTGTAATACTAATCTCAAATCTGTATCCTCTTCACCTTCACAGCCTCTTGTGCTGGCAGCAGGAGACCTGGGGAAGAGGAGAGTCCAATGTGTTGGAAGATTCCCATGGGAGATCCCCATGTTATTTATGGGATTCCAACAGGGCTGCCTTGCCAACCTTCAACCCAAGATTGGGCATGTATCACAGCCTGGCCAATCTGTATATTCCAGCCTGTTGACCTGGAAAGAACCTACTGCTTATTTTGCCTTCCCTTCCTAACATTTTAATTCTGATTAAATAAATTAAAATAAACTTTAAAGGCATCCTTGAAGGGGAAAAGATGTCAGATGCCAACAACCAGACAGCCTGGGGCCAGAGGGAGGACCGGGTTATCTGCAGAAGAGACAATAGAACCTTGTAATTCATGATGGTTGACTCCCTAGAATTAGTGTAGGTACTGTAACTGCCCAATGGAAGGTCCAGGTAGACCAAGTTGATCCAGAGGCCCAGTCAATGCACATTTGTGTGTGAATTACTAGGAAACAGAGAGGCTCTCTTTCCATTGAAATTGTTAGGTATAAGAACAATACATGCTTGGAACTTCTGAGTGTCATTATGGGGAGTGGGTCTACTGAAACATAAAACCAGCTCAGAGGAAAGGAAAGCTGAGAGATGAAATGAGGAAGAGGCAGAAAGGGAGGAGGAGAGAGTAAGAGGGTCAGATAAGGCTGTCGATGTTGGAGTCTGATGTAAGCACAAGAAAATCTTTTCTGGTTAAACCACTGAGATTTTGGAGTTGTTATAGCAGTCAATATACCCTGGGGAACACACCCAGAAACATACATAGTAACAGAGTTCAGTGTACCCCTCTGCCCAGTGGTTTGAGGGCACTGGATGGTTTCCTTAATCTATGTTTCCACATTAGAAAGTAGTTAAGGGCATACTTTTTGGAGGAAGTTTATTAAATTAAAAAAAAAAACTACAAATGAGTAATTATAAAAATATAATTTCACTCTTTTCATTATTTACCACAAAAATTTAAAAATACCAATATACAGACAAGCGCAAGTGAACTGGAAAAGAGCTAAAAATTTTATAAAAGACAAATCTAAACTCAAGAATATATGAGCAGTGACGTACACCACATCCTCTCAAGTGAGTTCAGAAAGCATATTCCATGCTGGACAGGTTTCTTTCCAGGTCAGTTTTTATTGGCACCACACCTGGAAAGCTCCCTAAGCCAAAGTTCTTATGTGTCAGGATCTTCCTAGACCTCCCTTTGAAAGCATTTCTCATAAAACAACTCTCACCAGACAGGCTGACTTATTGTAGGCGCAAAAATCATAAATGCCTCTCATAGGCCCCATGGAGCTTGGAAAAAAAAGATCTGCTAATGAAAACAAAGCATTACAAAAACGTAAAAGTGGCACCTAGTGGCCACTTAGCAGCTTTTCCTTATGGCTTCTAGTTAATCATAGATGTCGGCCTCTCTGCCCATAGCATTGTGCTCGGCAAGTACGAGTCTCCAATTCCAGAGCCCAGCAATGACCTGCCCGAGGGGGAGATACCTCTCGGCAGCATGATCTGAACCTGGACACTACTAAACACGGTCTGGTAACTAAATATTGGCTATTTCTTGTAGCTGTGCCCCAGATTTTATGGAGATTCCTTAATGACTATGATGACAAAGACCTCCTTTTCTGTCGTGACACTGTAAATAAACACTTCCCTTTAAATTCCATTTATTTACCAAAAGTCTCTATTCTGTACTTTCCTGTTTGTCTGTTTCACAACAGATTTCTAAATTTGGTGATGACCATATAACTCATTTCACTGGATTCCAAGTATCATCCTGTAATAAAATATCTGATATTTTAAAGTTTATTATTTTCAAAAGTTTAAATTTGGTAACATGGATAGAGACTTGTTATTTGATCTTACAGATTCAAGGATCAATAAATAATTGTTCTTCAAACATGGTACTTAAGGAAAAATATTCTTATGGTATAAACTTTGGTCTACTTCAATAGTAACCACTTAATATAATGTTCTAGAGCAGTGCTGTCCAATAGAAATATAATCTGAGCCACATGTATAATTTTATTTTCTTCTAGTCACATTAAAAAAGTAAAAAGATACAAGTAGAATTTTAATGTTTTATTTAATTCAGTATATCCAAAATATCATTTGAACATGTAATTAATATAAAATTATTAATGTGATATTTTACATTCTTTTGGTAACACTAGTCTTCAAAATCTGGTATGTATCTTACATTGACAGCACACCTCACTTTGTGCTAGCCACACTGCAAGTACTCAGCAGCCACATGTGGCTAGTGGCTACCGCACTGGACAGCACAGTTCTAGGTTCCACCCTAACGCCCAAGTCCTATGGATTAGAATCCCAGGATCAGAGTTGGAAGTAAACATAGAGATCAAACCTCCTTTTAAAAATGAGGCAGCTGAGGCACAGGGAGTTTAAATGGCTTGCATGAGGTCACACAGCTAAATACAGCCTCAACAAGGTCTTCTGATTCTAGGCACTCTTCCCACTCCACTACATTATTGTACTGGTAATTCTAAGGGTTAAAAAAAAAGTCTCCAGTACTGTTTTTATACTTTTATGCCATTTGTGGATATGTTCTTTCTCACCAAAGTTCAAACAATTGATTTGTAGGAGAAAAAAGTAACATAGTGTATGCCATAAAAATATGTCATGTCCAACAGCAAAAATCAAATTTAGTTGAAGACAACTAAAACATTTTGAAGGAAACACAAACCTTAGGAGAGCGACGGTATCATACGATGCATGGATTAGATTCTGAGTCCAGGACAAAAGGATCTACAGAAAATATTAGAGTGAACTAATAAAGGATCAAACCATGCACAGAGTATTCAACTGGCTATCTGCCCACTGGTCTATGGAATCAAACAACCCCTCCTCTTGCAAAGAGAAAAAACTGCCACTGTCCGAGGCAGCACTGGTCTGCCTCTAGAAACTCTGCCTCTCAAGTCCTGGCATCAGGAGGGCAGGTCTGCCCCCATCTGCTTTTGAGGCCATCCAGCCATGATGGCCTACCCTGCCACTCCTGGCTCAGGCAGACTCTTTGGAAGCCAAGTCCAACCCGCAATGGTTCAGTCCCCTAAAAAGTGCTATTGGTAGGCAGGCCTCCCTGCCCAATTTAGAGAACACAGGGGATCTTTCACACTTCCTTAGACTTAACTATAATGCTTAGGCTGCTGCACACCAATTCTCCCCATCTCATAGGATTTCTTTGGCTTATCCTAAACCTGATGTCTCTCAGGTCCTCGAGTGTCAGACCAGGAATAGTGCCGACCCTCCAACATTGCTGGGACACTGTATCAGTTCAAGAGGTCAGGGTGCCAATACATCCTTGTCCACGCAGCCCCTGCACATTTCACACTTGAACATTTGTTTTTGGTTATTGTCTGTTGGTATGTTTGTCATTAACATGTCTGACAGAAGTTCTAATCTATCACCTACAGCTAAAGAAATAGCATGCAGGGTCAAAATGCTTTGTTTTGGCGAGGGGCTCTGAGGGAAATCTGCTGGAAAGATGTAGCACCATATAGAACAGGAAACTGGATTTGAAGCTCACATTGAAGTGTGAGGGCTGCTGCATGAGTTCCCAGCCTATCTGACTTTCATTTGTGAGGCACAAGAGAGAATATATAGGAGCATACTCGGTAAGCTATGAAGAGATACCGAAGCAGAAAGTGTCATAAAGTAGGATCCCCGAGAAGGTAGACATGCAGTATTTTAAATAATCTTAATTCTTACACTCAATTTGAACCACCTCTAGATTAATTACTGTTAAAAATGCTCTCCAAATTTTAAATTATAACTAGAAAATCGGTTTTAAAATTATTTCTCATTGCCTCATAATTTAAAAAATGTACTTGTCATTTGTTTCATTACCTTTGGTTACAGGCAATAATAACTGTAATTACCTAGTTACCTAGAAAGCTACAACTAGTTCCTAGGTCAGTTAGTTAATCATTTAACCAGTGAGACCAATGTTTTCCCAAATGTGTATAAAGAAACTTGTTTATATACATTACACATTTAAAACTATGAATTCAATGTGTGACTTTACACAAGACATTTAATCTGCCCAGGCCTACTTTTTTCCTCTAGGACAAATCTATCCCTAAGTATTTTTTCAATGTCAAAAACCTAATCTAGCTATAATAGAGATCTTCAGTGATTATATTAAGAGTAAATCTTATTTATTTATTTTTTTTGAGATGAAGTCTCACTCTGTTGTCCAGACTGGAGTGCAGTGGTGCGATCTTGGCTCACTGCAACCTCTGCCTCCCAGGTTCAAGCAATCCTCTCACTTCAGCCTCCCAAGTAGCTGGGATTATGCCTGGGTAATTTTTTTTTTTTTTTGTATTTTTAGTAGAGATGGGGTTTCACCATATTGGCCAGGCTGGTCTTGAACTCCTGACCTCAAGTGATCTGCCTGCCTTGGCCTCCCAAAGTACTGGGAGTACAGGCGTGAGCCACCATGTCCGGCCTAGTAAGAGTAAATCTTACATGCAAAGGTTAATCCCCAAGATCTAGGGCCCAAGATCCTTCCTTTTCTGTAAGGAAAACTGAAACTCTTTTGACTTTCTGCATTTTAAGTAATAAATCATCTCACTTAAAATTCATCTTAAAGTGCTCAACTGAGCATACATATCCCAGCTCTGTGCTTGCCTAAGTCTCCAAAGATCAAATACAGTATTCAATGTGATTATGACTATAAATTGCACTGTCCCTTTAAATGTTCAAGTACTCACTGTTTTCTTAAAGTGTGTAAGCCCTATCCTCAATTAAGGAAATTCGCAAGGAATGGAAAATGTTCCAAATTATACAAACCTACTATTATAAATGAATCTTAGACACAAAGGAAAATATCAATATATTACATTACCCCAACTAAAAAAAACTGCATCAAAAATAAAACAAGGCCAAAACAATAGGTATGTAGTATTCTTGGTTAGAAATATTTTAGCAAAAATATGGCAACTAGTGGATTACAAGCCATTTCACTGAATAAAGGAGTCTATAATAAACTTGGTTCTCTTGGGAGGAAAACATATTTCCCCACATCCCTGTGACAATAAGATGCAAATCTATAAAAACTGGTAGAACATTAATAAAAGATACAAACAATATCAATACAGTACTGAAGAATAGTTGAGACAGTTTTTCGTAAATAAAATGCTTTAAAATGTTTCTCATTATTGGAGTTAAAAATCAAAGGCTAGAGGGTCCACTGGATGTCACTGAAGTCCCCAGGGTCTCCCAGGCCCCCCTCTGCTTCTAAGTAATTCATAAATGCAGCCATGGCTGTGTCATCATTGTCACACAGGGTATCGAAATCCAACTGTGCACCATCACCTATGAATTAAAATACAGGCCTGTGTAAGTAAAGGTGATCAAGAAAGTCACATGTTTCACACATTTAGAGGTTAAAGAATGATTGTGATTAAAAAAATGGCAAAGCAAGGCTAGAAAACCATAAAATGTGTTTTTGAAGGCAAAGTATGTATCTTAAGCTGCAGATGGCTGATATACTTTTAAATGGGTTACCTAGTTTTACAACAATCTGCCAGATAAATTGCACCTAATTCATCTGTTACAGAGAAGTAAGCTAGTCTATGAGTTTTCTAATAGGAAATTACATTGCTAAAGGGTACAGACTCTCAGAGAGCTGGAAGGAAGCTAGGAGATTTAGTGTGTGTGTGTGTGTGTGTGTGTGTGTGTGTGTGTGTGTGTAAATCCTGGAAGGAAAAAATGTAATCTGCTTGTGAAAGAACGCTATCTGTTTCATACTGAAATGAGAAGCCTAAGACAAAAGCATTTTCTAAAACTTTGGAATTTTCTTACAAAAGGGAGGTAAATCAGATTTTTATCAAAAAAGGAAATAAGTAGGAACCATGGAGATGATAACTAATTTAGAGATAAGAGGTTCTAGAAATTAGGGTTAAAATGCAGATAAAGACTAACCGAAGGTTTGCATATATGTGTCAAAGAACAATGGAACTTCAGATAATAAATATATGACTCTCTGTGTGTTTAAAGTGGATATCCAAATTCCTTCAAGACCTTTGATTCTCATTAGTGTATGCTTTAGCAGAGCAATGTCAGTCATGGAGGATATGAAACTATATACAATAGTTTGAATTGTCCACTAAAATTCATGCGTTGGAAACTTAATCCCCAACACAATGGTGTTGATAAGTGAGGCCTGATACAAGGGGATTAGGTCATGAGGCCTTTGCGCTCATGAATGGACTGTCATCATCGTGGGAGTTGGTTAGTTATCTCAAGAGTGGGTTTGTTATAAAAGTGAGTTTTCCCACATCTTGCTTTCTTGCTCTTACGCTCTCTTGCCCTTCTAACTTCCACCATGGGAAGATGAGGCATGAAGGTCCTCATAAGATGCCTGCACTACACTCTTGGACTTCCCAGTCCCCAGAACTGTGAGCCAAATAATTTCTGTTTATTACAAATTACTCCATCTGTGGTATTCTGTTACAGCAGCATAAAACAGACTAAAATACCACATCACTCAATTTACTTATCTGGACTTTGCATAAACATTGTTAAAATGAATGATTACATCTTAAACTTTTTTGACTTCTATCCTTTATGAATTCTTGGTAATTCTTGAGAATGGACCTTTTTTTTTTTTTTTTGAGATGGAGTCTCACTCTGTCGCTCAGGCTGGAGTGCAGTGGCACGATCTTGGCTCACTGCAAGCTCCGCCTCCCAGGTTCACGCCATTCTCCCGCCTCAGCCTTCCAAGCAGCGGGGACCACAGGTGCCCGCCACCATGCCCGGCCAATTTTTTGCATTTTTAGTAGACACAAGGTTTCACTGTGTTAGCCAGGATGGTCTCGATCTCCTGACCTCGTGATCTGCCTGCCTCGGCCTCCCAAAGTGCTGGGATTACAGGCATGAGCCACCATGCCTGGCCAATGGTAGCATCCATTTTAAGATTGAGTACAATTATTATTATTTAGAATTTTGATATTTATTTATTTACTTATTTTTTTGAGACGAACTCACTCTGTCACCCAGGCTAGTAGCTAGGACTATAGACATGAGCCATCATGCCTAGCTAATTAAAACAATTTTTTTTTCAGTAGAGATGGTTTGTTGCTATGTGTGCCAGGCTGGTTTGAACTTTTGGCCTCAAGCTAATCCTCTGGCCTTGGCCTCCCAAAGTGCTGGGATTACAGGTGTGAGCCAATGTGCTCAACTGAAAAAAACCTTAGTTTTAAAAACTGTCTGCTTCTCTTGAAATTTCCTGTGCCTGAAAACACAGTGATTAAGAAGGGGGTTTTGATAAAGAAAATGGTCAGCAGTTCCCAAAGAAAACTTACTGAGGAGTGGCTCATGGCTGTGGACAGCAACAGTACTCTGGTTTTGCCTGGTAGCCTCTAGCTCTCCCATTTCAGAAGGACTTGGTGGAAACAACTCCTTATTCGACATCTGAAAAGACAGCCAGAGTAATAAACAGTGAGGTTCCTACTAGAATAAGGATAAATACTCTATTTATTTATTTATTTATTTTTACTTTTTATTTTTTTTGAGATGGAGACTCGCTGTGTCACCCAGGCTGGAGTGCAGTGGCATGATCTCGGCTCATTGCAACGTCCACCTCCCGGGTTCAAGCGATTCTCCTGCCTCAGCCTCCTGACTAGCTGGGATTACAGGCATGTGTCACCACGCCTGGCTAATTTGGCTAATTTTTTGTATTTTTAGTAGAGACGGGGTTTCACCATGTTAGCCAGGATCTCCTGACCTCGTGATCCGCCCACCTTGGCCTCCCAAAGTGCTGGGATTACAGATGTGAGCCACTGTGCCAGGCCAAGATAAATACTTTTTAGCAGTTATCAGACATGTGCCAGCCGCCAGTGCCACAACTACCACCATCAGTATGGAAGCTTGCTTTTCCCGAGTACCATATGCCAAGCTCTCCACCTGCATCGTCTCCTCTCACTTCTCAGATACTGTAAGGCAGCTATATTACACATCAATCTGAGGCCTACAGAGGGCACCTTGCCCAAGGTGCTGAAGCCATGATTCTAACTCAAGTCTACCTGACTCCAAAGCCTGCGTTCTTAAGAGCCATAACTGAAGGTGCATACGTAAGGAATAGTTTTGGATGAAGAAGAAAAAGTTCATGACCACAAATGCTTCAGGTCAAAGTTTATTTCTGTGTTTACAAAATGATGGCAAAACTATACCTCATATAAAACTACTATGGGAAATACTGCTTTGGAGTGGGAAACACTAAACCAAATGCTGTTCCTGAAAAGTTCTTATGCTGTTATATAGTTACAGGCCAAACAATCTAATAATCCATGTAGCTCATAAAATAGGAAATCATTTGCCTATATTGTCTTATTAAGTTGACATACTTTATCTATAGAATGCCTACATAATGTACACTACTTAGACATTTTTACTACCACATAAATCTGTTTCTCGCATACTACCTCGCACAAAATGGATGCCCAATAAACATGTGCTAACTGTATGAGTAAATGAATAAATAATAAAGCAGAAGACATGATATTTGTGTAAAAAGACAAGACATTTATATTTTCGTTTTTGCTTTTAGACAGTTGCAGTCTGCCAGTCAGGCTAGTGCAGTGGTGTGATCATAGCTCACTTCAGCCTCAAACTTCCAGACTCAAGTGATCCTCCTGCCTCAGCCTTCTGCAGTAGCTGGGATTACAGGCATGGGCCACCATTACTGGCTAGTATTTTTAAAAATCTTTTTTAGAAAGGAGGTCTCACTATATTGCCCAGGCTGGTCTTGAACTCCTGGCCTCAAGTGATCTTCCTGCCTCAGCCTCCTGAGTAGCTGGAATTATAGGCACAGCCGCCATGCCTGGCTCTGATATTTGTATTTTTAAGTTTCTGTTTGTCCCTGGTCAGATAGAATTTCTCTTTTCTCCTGTAGTCTGACACTGCTTGATTTACATATCTGCTTTAGAGCTTTTTGTTGTCTGTGCTAAATTAGAATTATATTGTATTTTAGTCTTCCAGATAGCACTAGGTTTAGTAATTTTTGTATATACAATAATGCATTTCAAATAGCTAGTATTTGTTCAACTGAATTAAGTAGTATGTGGTATTTATCTCGTGGCTTATATTATTTAAACTTTTTTTTTCAAACCTCAAGGAGTAGCTTTAATTTACTAAATTGGAACCTATTACAATAACAATAATAAGAGCTACCATTTATTGAGCACTTACTGTGTGCTAGGCACTGTTGTAACAGTTTTTGTTTATGTATTTAAGCTCTTAATTCTCACAATCCTCTAGGAGATCAATGATATTCTTATTCCTACTTTACGAATGAGAAAATTGAGGTACAGAGAGTTTAAGTAAAAGCCCAAGGTTACATCCCAGTAAGTGTCATAACTGGGACTCAGATACTATGTTCACAGCAACTTCACTCTTTACTACGCAACAAAGCCACTTAAAAATCACTGAGTGACCAAAATGTTTTTTTTTTTTTTTTTTTTTTTGACAGAATGACTTCTTTTCTTAAAAGAAATAATCAACAAGGGGCAAATTTTATTGTTCATTTATTTCATGAATATTATCATTTACAAGTATACTTACACTCCTGCAGTTCACAGTGTTAGTATCTTTCATTAAATCTGTTGGACTCGAATCATCAAGGTATGAAGAAGACTGTAACCTTTAAAAAGTGATACATTAAACATTTTTAATTTTTACATATTTTAGAAGGAAATGTTCTCCTCTAAATACATAATAATCTACTGATAAAAATACAGTGAGGAACTTGAAACTGAGTATCATAGCAGGTTTCACAATCAGACTGACTTTCTAGGTGCCAGGCTTATTTCTGACTATGGAACGCTGAAAAACACTCCATAGTAAATAGAAAAATAAAGCTCTGAAGTAAAATCTTTTGAGTAAATCATATCATCTGTCAGTATAGCCTGTGTTAAAATAACAGAATAACACAGCACAGTTTAAAACAGGTGCTCATGTCAAAAATCAGCTCCTCCTCAAGATACTAAATGGCAGAACTGAGAGTAAGGAAAGATTTACTAACATTCTGGAACCCTTTTAAAGTGGAAAATGTGCCATATTTTTACTACAATAGGTCACCCTCAGGTAAAAATCAATGAAACACATACATAGAGAACAAAATGGCATAAACAGAACTTTATGTCTTTATGTGTTCCCAAGAAGGCAGTTGACGTTGAGGTGTACAATACGATGGTTTACTGTACATATACATAGTAAAATTGCTGCAGTTAAATAAATTTACATATTCATCACCTCCCACAGTTACCTGTGTGTATGTGTATGTTGACAGCACCTAAAACCTACTCTCCTAACAAATCTTCAGTATATAACATCATGAACTATAGTTAGTTCTCATGCTGGACATTCGATCTGTAGACTTATTCATTCTATCTTAAGACCTTAAGACCTAAGACTATAAAACTATTAGGAGGAAATAGTGGAACAGCCTCATGACATTGGATTTGGCAATGATTTCTTGGTATGACATCAAAAGCACAGGCAACAAATGAAAATAAATAAATAAATTGGAGTATATAAAAACGAAAAACTTCTGTACATCAAAAAACCTGATCAACAGAGTAAAAAGGCAACCCAAAGACTGAGAGAAAATATTTGCCAATCACATATCTGCTAAGTGGTTAATATCCAGAATATGTTAACAACTCCCAACTCAACAACAGCAACAAAACAAACAACTTGATTGAATAGTGGGCAGAGGACTTGAATGCACACTTCTCCGAAGAAAATATACAAATGGCCAATAAACACATGAAAAGGCAGTCAATATCACTAATCAGTAGGAAAATGATAATGATTAGCTCACTGCAGACTTGAACTCCTGGGCTCAAGTAATCCTCCCACCTCAGCCTCCCAAGTAGCTGGGACTATAGCTGTGCACCCCTATGCCTCGCTAATCTTTTTTTTTTTTTTTTTTTGAGATGGGGGTCTCGATACGTTGCCCAGGCTGGTCTTGAACTTCTAGCCTCACATGATCCTCTGCCTTGGCCTCCCAAAGTGCTGGGGATTACAAGCATGAGCTATTGCACCTGGCCTTTTATTGTGTCATTTTTTTTTAAATGTAATAAGCCAGGTAGCCAGGTGTGGTGGTGTGCGCCAGTAGTCTCAGCTGCCTGGGAGGCTGAGGCAGGAGGATCGCTTGAGCACGGGTTGTCCAGGCTGCAGTAAGCCATGATCACACCACTGCACTTCAGCCTGGGGGATAGAGCAAGACCCTGCCTCAAAAGAAAATTTAAAAAAAAAAAAAACTATTCTATATACTATAATGTTTAATATAGAGAGATATATAAAATTAAATACATAAGGTTTAATATAAAGCGTATTTTATTCTTTACACAATAAAACTGTATATACATTAAGATAGTTTGTCTATTTTACTGTATGAAATTCACACATTGTCCAGTTTATAATTTCTCTTTTAACATTGTTATAATGATATAGTTACGTGTAAGGTTCTAATTTGCATACAATTAAATTTACCAAATATTTTTCTTTATAAATTCTGGATTTTGTGATGTTTAGAAAGGACTTTTCAAGTTGAGAATATAAAAATTCATATATGTATTCTTGAAAAACTTTAGTTTTATAGTTTTACTTTGAGCTCTGATTTATCTGGAATTTATTTTAGTGTAAAGAATAAAATTGGAGTCTAGCTTTATTTTTCCCCCAAATGGTTATACAGTTATCATAATGCCCTTTAATGTTTAATTCATTTCTACCTACTGATTTAAGATGTCATTTTTAATTTTTACCATATAATAAATGTCCATGTGCATTTGATGATGTTTCTGAAATATAATATTTTACACTGATCTATTTGTGGGTCACACCAAAATGTTTCAGTGGTCATAGCTTTATAACGTATTTTAATATCTGATAGCATTAGTCTCACTTTATTACTTTCTTATTTTTCATAAATTTCTAGATATTTTAAAGTGATTAGTATAATCTGTTGGATTCCAAAAAAAAATGCATGGTGGTATTTTTTTTTTTTTTTTTGAGACAGGGTCTTGCTCTTTTGCCTAGACTGGAGTACAGTAGCAGGATCACAGCTGACTACAGCCTTGATGCTGCTCCACCAGCCCCTCTCCCTCCACCCCACTCCAGTGATCCTCCCACCTTAGCCTCCCAAGTAGCTGGGACTACAGGTGTGCACCACCATATCCAGCTAATTTTTTTTTTTTTTTGGTAGAGATGGGGTTTTGCCATGTTGTCCAGGCTGGTCTCAAACTCCTGGACTCAAACAATCTACCTGCCTTGGCCTCCCACAGTACTAGGATTACAGGCATGAGCCACCATGCCCGGCTACACAGTGGTTATTTTGACTAGATCCACATTATATTCACAGTTTAGTTTAAGGAACAGGACATTCTTACATTCTGTCTTCCTGTTGAAAAACAGCTTCTATCTGAAGTTATTTGAGTTATCTTTTATGCACCTTTGAGAATTTTAAAGTTTTTTTTTTCATGTTGGTATGAACATTTCTTGTAAAATTTATCTTTTTTGTTGCTACTGTAAAGATAATATTTTCCATTATATTAAACCGGTTATTATTTGTATATAGGAAGACTACTGATTTTTGTATATTGGTTTTATAAATATGACATTTTTAGTTTTGAAAATATTTGCAGCAATAAAACATTACCTCTGTAAATCCAGAATTTCATTTGCAATATCTGTTCCAATACTACCAGCACCAAGTACTGTTCCAGCAGACATTCCAGGTACACTCATACAAGACTGTCGAGAGGATTCTAAGTAACAGCAAAAGGGGACATTCAATTAAGGACTTTATCTTTCTTTCAATTCAAATAATTTCACAGTTCTCTCCTTAAAAGAAACAGACTAGCTGTATCCAAAAATGCTAGAAAACACTCATCATTGCATTACAAATGTAATTCATGATGCTCTTTGAATCAAATGTGTAGAAAGTCACTGAGGGCACAATCGTGACTTGTAACCCTTGGGTCCAGTCTCTTCCCACTTTAACTTCCACAGCAATACTACTTCAACGTTACCTAAGATTTTTATTTTTACAAATAATACATTAATATATTCCTGTGGTGAAAAACTAACACAGACAAGCAAAAACTCCCCCTAATACTTTTCATTAATTTGTCCAATTGACAAGGAACGACGTTAGCTGTTAGGGCTGAATAATGGATAAAACATCATTCCTGCTCTTAAAGAACTCAGTCTACTGGAAAGCAAGTAGAATGAACAGCTAACTGCAGTACAATGCAAGATTATAACAGAAATGTGAGCAAAGCACTGTGGAAATTTTGAGGGGGATATGGTGATACCTTTGGGGGTTTAAATGGCATATCTGTTTCTCATTGAACTTAGTCTCTTCTAAACCAAAGTTGGGATTCCTATAACCCAACCTGTAGAACTCCTTTTAATTTCACTTTCAAATTTTCCCCTCTCCAGGCCAGAAAAAGACAATAATAGTCTTAATAATATGTCTTAGTAATAAGTCTTCCATCATCTGAAACTAAGCTTACCTTCTGATGATTGAGAGCTACAAGGAAAAAATGATGCTTCTCCAGGCTCACTATGTCCCCTAGAATTAAAAACACCATAGATGATTTGTTTTCTAAGGTGAAGGAAACTGTTATAGCAACTACACCAAGCTCTATATATTTAATTTGTCAATTTGTGGCCCATTTATGTTTTATATACACATATTGTTAGTATCACCACCAGAAATCAAGGTCTATTAAGACATTAGTGCTAAGTATCATGGCATTTGCCAAATGCCCCATTCCCCTATAAAGTATGTGTTCTCGCAATAACAAACTCTTAGTTCATGTACTAATAATAAGTAGGCAAAGATTACTGGGATGGGTGACAGGAAAATACTGGAGGTATTAAACTTTTTAAAAAATTATTTTTCACTCAGTATTGTAGATAAGGAAACAACTGGTTCAAGGAAACCTTACAGCAATTTCAAAGAGAAACTTACAGAAATAAAGTAAGACTTAGAATGGGGCCATCCTAGTCTACTATAAAATCGGGAGAACTTGGCTCTTCCTTCAGGCTGACACAGCGACAGACCAGGGCCTGGGCTGGATTTCTGTTCTCCCCCATGCTGGGCATGCCTACACAGACATGGTGGCACCCCAGGCTTACAAGATGTGCACGTAAAAATGACAGGGAGGACAAAACCATTTCTTACAATAATGCACAGTTGAAATCCATGTCTGCATTGTTTACTGAATGGCCATGGAAGGTAGGAAGAAAATGGTTGAATAAATGCCTTTACCCTCACTTATTATATCAAGAAAGAAGGAATATATTACAAAAATGAAAACTTTTAGCTTAATTCTGAGAACTAATGTCACTGAACAGTAAATGACTTACTCAAAAGATAAATCTCAAGTTATAATAAAAGGCCAGAGGATCATATGGTTTTAATGGTTTAGCAAGATGAGAGGAAAAAAGCAAAGAGACTCATTTGAAATCAATATAAAGGTCTTAACATAAAAATTTACTTACAAAACTAAAGTGTTGACAGATACAATATATTCCAGTTCTTTCGTCCAAGGATTTGTGAAACTAAACCATTGGCTTTTTAAAGTTACAAAAGAGCCATCTTTTGCTCTGAATTTGTAGGAATCTGTAAGTATTTTCTCCTTACTCTGTAGAACTTAATGAGAAAAGATAATTATCAGCATAACAGTCTACCACTATAAAAATCAACGTTGTGAGGAATAATTCAAATTTCAAATTTCACAGGAATGGGAAGTTAAGAGTTAAAGCTGTCATTTGGAATTCCCCAAAATGTCTTCTGCTCAATGCATACCTACCTGCTTTGTGCTTGTCAGTCAAATTACTATGGTCATCTTGATGAAAATATTCATAACAAGAAGTCCCCAAAAGTTCCTGAGGCAGATATCCTAAAATTGCTGTTGCCCTGGTTTTAAAATTGAAAATAAACTTCAGAAGTGGTGAGTGTACTCCCTCCCAGAAGATTGTAGGCCCACATATGGTCAGGATAGTAAAGAAGTGCACAGGGTAGGGGATGAGTGACCATGCACATCACTGGGCTCCTGTTGGCTGCCCTAGAGCCAGACTAGAGCCGCAACACAGAACAGACACCCAGGCATGAGGCCTCCACCCAATCCAGGCTGTGCTCTTACTAGCTTTTGCCAGTAAAATTGTGGGCACAGACCATGTCCAGTTTCTGCACCACTGGCTAAGAGACATTCTTTCGAGTTTACATGTTGGCTTAAACAAATTTACTGACATGTCCATATCCTTATTTCATTTAAACTTTCTGTTCTGAAACAGCAAAAAAAAAAAAAAAAAAAAAAATCTAGCAGTGCTACTAAGACACGTCTTTAATAGCTTCAAATATCCTATTGAATTCTAATCATTATAACATGTAAATGTTTACCTTTGATCTACATAGACGAATTTTCCATTCATTGCAAACCGGGTTATAAATTCAGTCGGTTTCACATGAATCTCTCCACTGTTCTGTGGAATAATATATGGCTGTAATCTTCCAATGGCCACAAGGCAGGTAAAATTACTGTTGTCTTTCTTACTGTTCCTTTCTTCTTCCATTCCAACAATATTTGGAGGCCAGCTTCTCAAGTAACCAGTGCAGTGGATAGTATAGAATTTTCTATGCTCTAATTCAAAGATTTTTCAAAAGGACATTTAGATCATTATAAATAAATCATTAAATTTCTTATATTGACATCTACAATAGTGATAATTGTGCTATAAAATGCTCTTTAAATATGCTAAAATATGAAAGGGGAATGGTATTCCATTGAAAAGATATCATCAATTTTGATTATTTCATGACTTTATTATTAATAGGTTATTTTTCTCAGGAACTAAATTGTATGTACTACATGAAAAAGCAAACAGGTTGCTTTATTTTAGTATTAACTAGGTCTATGACTTAATATAATTCCAAGTCAATTTTTTAAATTACAGTAATTTACATCTGTTGGAAAAATTAATCCTCATGTCCCCTTGCAATACTGTTTTCAGCTTATTAAGTTTTTTGGTATATTGTAACTTATATTCGAAAGTTTAAAAAGACATTTAAGTCATTATGTATGCATTCTTAAATTTCTTATGTTAGTGCTTATAATGGTTAATAGATATATAAGGTTATAATAGATTATAGAAACATTTTAAAGAACACTTGGAGAAATTTATAATGAAAAGTATAAAAATAAAATAAATTTCACTTTTTAGGAAAATCCCAAGCAATTAACTCATAGGAAGAAGCATGTCAATCATGTCCACCAAAATAATAAAAAATTGGAAATAATCTATATGCTCAAATATCATGTTTAAGCAAACAATAAATCCAATACTGGCATAAACGATGAGTAGGATACAGATTACGGCATGCCACAAAAGTGATTTAAAGGTTAAATAGTAGGGGAAAAGCCTGATAAAAAATTATTTGAAACAGCTGTTTTTATGGTAAGCTTTAGAAAAGATTAGAACAATCAACGTTTTAAATTGGCACTATTTGGTAAAACTTCCACTACAATAAATCCTTTAAATTTGTGTTTAAATAGAAGGTGATATGAACTGTCATATAAAATAGTAGTTAACAATAATAGCAAAGATTTAGAGACCACTTTATGTGTCACAGTCTGTTTTAAGTGCATTAAACGTATAACTCATTTAATCTTAATAGTTCTGTGGGATGTTCTAGCATCTCCATTGTCTTTGCAAACTGAGTTAATGGCAAGGTCACAGCTGGTACAGGATGGAGCTGGGGTTAAAACTCAGGCTGGTTCCAGAGCCCACTTTCTAAACCACTAACGTCACACCATTTGCTGATAGTGAGTGCTCTGTCACCAAAGATGTTCAAATAGGAGTTGCCTGGGTGACAGAAGGGGAGGGGTACAAAGGTGTTCCAGTCAGAGGGAATGACCAGTGAGAACTGAGAGCGAGTGGTCAGATGCGGCTGAAGCATATGCTGCAGTGGGAAAGACTGGAAAATAAAGCAGGGAACAGAGGGCAGGCTGTAAGCCACGCATAAAACCTTGTATCCAACATCTAACAAACAGCACTCCCTTCCCAGGCCACAGATGCCCTAAATTACAAAACTCCTTATCTCTTCCAACCCAAACCCAGTCTTTATTACCTATTCCCTACCCTGTTTACTGGTGCCACGATCAACCTAGGCAGTTCAAAGAGAAATCTGGGGGTCATCTTAGGTTCTACCTCCTCCTAACAACCCAGATACCTCAAAGGAATTAAAATTGAGTAAGTATGAATAAAGGTTTTCATTCATATTAACAAAACCAGATGGTAGTTAAAAATAAAAGGGCTTATACATCAGGTTTGGCATTCCTGCAAACTTATAAATGATACTGACTAAAAATATTCCACTCTACTGAAAATAGAGACTTCAGAAAGTATATTTTTTATTTATATATGTAATCTCATCACACAGAACCTAGCTTGTTGCATTTATTTCTCTCTTACAACAGGGTTTACTATCTATATTTCCAAATCTAACTGTCCCTCAATTCTCACTGTGAACATTTATTCAGTTGGCAATTTTCTAGTTGGGATTGTGTAATTCTATCAACTGCAATTCATTTGATCAGCTATCTAAGTTTTTTTTTTTAATCCCATTTAATCCATTTCCTGTTTAGAAAAGAAAAAATACAGCTTGCTACCAGTGCAGTATTCTCAGGACAAATAGGAAATGGGTTAAAAATTCTTATCCCAATAATTCTTTAGCTCTTTATCTAAACATTGGAGTCATGAGGCCCGATCCTTGCCAAACTATTTACTTACACCGGCTCCACAGGCTAGATTCAAGTGTCATCTACTCCATGATTTCCCAAAAGTGTGTAGGGGTGAGGGGAGGGAGAAAAAGCCTGTGTTACCCTAAACACTGCCTTAATTTACAGGACATCCTTTCAAAATCCTTTATGAAATATTTCCTCAACACATTGCAGGCTAGGTCTCTCAACTTGGTGTTTTGCTGTCTTCACTTACACTCTTGAGGAAGCAGATCCAAAACAAGGATTCAAATACAAGAAGTTAATTTGAGGGGTGGTCCCAGGAAACACTGGCAGGGAACTGGGAAGTGAGACAGGGAAGAGAAGGAAGCTAACAAAGTACCTGAAACGTGCAAGTTCCTGGAGCCACAGGCAGAACTGGCTCCAAAGACCAGAGGAAGAGGTCAGGCAGAGTCCTGGCGTTGGACACTGGAGGCCAGTGGCACACCCTGTCTGCAGTGGTGGGTGCTGGGGGGATATGCCATGGGGCACTGACAGATAGCATCTGCCATACGTGCACAAGAAACAAGCGGATTCTGGGTGTACTGTTGTACTTCTTCCTCATGCACAATTATCTCACGAAGATAAATTTAAGAAACACTTAAGACGCTTGGTGGCAGTCATCCGTCCTTCATCAGCCTGCAATTTCACAAGTTCAGATACCCAAGTAATTGTCTCTCTACCTTAGAAGCTTTTTCAAAGTTTGAATCCATGACATGAAGGTTTGATTCAGGATATAAATAATTTTTTAAAACGTCGTTATTTTAAAAAAATCTTTTATTATGTAAAATCTCAAACATAATGCAAAATCAGAAATAAACTTGGGTAACTCATCTTGAGAAATCCTGAGAAATGACCTTTCCATAAATCTTAAATTCAACTTTCAATTAAAATAAAAAGGGCTGCTCTCTAGTCTTCCTCTAAGTTTAAATGTAACTGACATGTCATGGTAAAAGGGAAGAAAAACATGTTTACTAACCACAGGCTTTCATCATTAATAATGAGGGGTCTTAAAACACAGTGAATTGGCCGGGCACGGTGGCTCATGCCTATAATCCCAGCATTTTGGGAGGCCGAGGTGGGCGGATCACAAGGTCAGGAGATCAAGACTATCCTGGCTAAAATGGTGAAATCCCATCTCTATCAAAAATACAAAAAATTAGACAGGTGTGGTGGCACGTGCCTGTAATCCCAGTCACTTGGGAGGCTGAGGCACGAGAATCACTTGAACCCATGAGGCGGAGGTTGCACTGAGCTGAGATCAAGCCACTGCATTCTAGCCTGGGCGACAGAGCAAGACTCCATCTCAATAAATAAATAAATACATACATACATGCATAAAACCACAGTGAATTCTACTGGTTAATTACTATTCGAAAGAGTAATTTCAAAGCGATCATATGCAACATATAATGTCACTTGACAGACACTCTCCTTGGTTAAAGCAGAAGACAAAATGACCCTCACCAAGGTCATCCAGGTGGCAATCAGGGTTTATATTCTGCAGTTACCTTATCCTGGACCAGTTGTCTATAGGCACTTCTCAAACCAGGTCCTGCAAGGACTGATTTCTGACACATTCCCTTACCATTGCTTAGGTCTGTGCCTTTGGTACAGAACTCTGTTGTGTTAAGTGAATACTTGGTTCCAGGGCTTGAGCAGATTCAAAACTCCTTTTTGAAAAGATATTTGCCTCTGTGTGCAGGCATCTGTGTGGCCCAGCCTGGCATGGGAGTGAACACCCTTGTGTGGGCAGGAACACATTCCTATAGCAGGCGCCCACTCCCTCACTGTGTGTCTGCTGCGAAAATCATCCAGAATCTCTTTCACTAAAACCTTTTGGCATCTAGGAAGCTAATGTAGTAGGTGGCATGGCATAGTGGAAAGAATACAGATTTTAAAGCCAGATTGCTGACTCTGTCACTCTCTATGTGACTTTAGAAAAATTACACAACCTTCTAAAAGTGCAGTTTCCTCATCTGCAAGACAAGGATGCTCTGCACAGAACTGTTAGGGAGATTAAACTGGGTAATTGTGCAACGTGCTTGGCATATAGTAGAATCTTAATAATTATTCACTCACTCCTTTCTCTCTTTCATTTTCTCTTCTCTTCTTTCTGAGCTGCAAATAGCTACTATTTATTGAGTGCTTCCTAGGAGCCGAGCACTGCATGAGCCACAGGTGATCCCAACCACACTCTCAGGAGATGCTGTTATTACCCACTGTATTAGTCTGTTCAGGCTGTCATAACAAAATTCCAGACTAGGTGGCTTAAATAACAGAAATATTGTATAGGGGTCTGCCCTTATAACCTTATTTACCCTTAATTACATCTTTAAAGGCTCTAACTATGGATACAGTCACACTGAGGCCTAGAGCTTCAACATACAAACTTTGGGGGAAAACAATTCACCCAGTCCCACCCATTTTCCATATATTAGGAGAAACTTGCCTAAGGTCACACAATTGTTAAGCAGCAGACCTGACACTAAAAAACCCTCCTGAATTCAGAGCCCAGGCCCTTTCTACTCTGTCCCACAGCATGGCTGTTGGGAGGCAGAGTCTAGTGGGAGAACCCGGAACATCAGAGCGACTCAAAAATTTATTTGTTCCTTTAGTTCCTCACAGAATTCAACTACTAATTGAATTAACTCTAATTGACCATTTGCCAGATATTCTTGAAATATCTATATTTTCCCAGTAAGATTATCATGTATTTCAAAGGAAAGAAATCATTCCTACTTCTTCTATAAATCTGTAAAACTTGCAATAAAAAAATCCTTTTAGGAACCCATGGAAGGACTAAAATTTGATTAGCACATTTTCAAGAATGCTGCTTGGTTGTTTTTTTTCTTAAATGTATGACTATACACACGCATTTTTGTTTGAAAATTGAATATTTAAAAGACCCGCTTCAAAATACTATAGCAGGGCTATAGAGTTCTACAGAGGACATCCCACTTTCCTTCTTGTATCTTTGCAAAGGGTTAAAAGACTGCAGATTATTAGACGTCCAAGATTATCATCAGTGACTGACTTGAGCTCCCATATCTAGGAAAATCCTCCAAGAATGTATATATTTGGTCATGTGTTGTCTAGAATTTCACAAAACAATGAGAGGAAGAATTGAAGGCGACAGAAAGGAGGAGAAGCCCAGACAAGGTGGAGTCCTGCTATTGCTTTGTGACTTCTAGTTCCATATCTGAAGCCAAATTTTAAGATGCCAATTTAATTAACAGACATTTATTTTCAGAAAGGCCCAGATGCCTTTAGTTCTCAGGGCAGAGCCTTTTCAGATTTCTTTCTCATGAGAACTATGGTATAGAAAATGATCCAAGCTGGTTGCAGTCTGAGGTTGGGCTGCCATAGCAAAATAGCAGATGTGGTAGCTTCAACACCAGGAACTTATTTTCTCTCAGTTCTGGAGGCTGGAAGTCTGAGATGGAGGTGTCAGCAGGGCTGCGTTCTGGTGAGGGCTGTCTTTCTGGCTTGCAGATACCCAACAACTTGCTGTGTGCTCACATGGCCTTCCCTTGCTCACTGCATTCATGCAGAGACAAAGAGCTCTCTGATGCCTCTCCTTACAAGAACACTAATCCCATGATGAGGGCCCCATCCTCATGACCTCATCCAAACCTAATTATCTCCCAAAGGCCCAATCTCCAAATACCCTCATGTCAGGAATTAAGGCTTCAACATAGGAATTCTGGGGACACAATTCAGTCCATAGCATTTGCTAAAAACTTCTTGAGACAAAATCTAAAAAATATGTTGAAATTGCTTCCTTAGGTAAAAGAGAAAGATTTTAATGTATATTCATTCATTTAATTTATCATTGTTCCTGTGGATTTGAGAGTGGTTATGCGGTCAGTCAGGTAGGAACAAAGGACAAGAGGATCGTCACTTATGCCTTCAGGAAATGTTTATTGAATGTCTATCATGGGCCAGAAACAACAGACGGAAATGCAGCTCTCATTCCAGTGAGGGAGGAAAGTATCAAAAAGTTAAGTAATTTCAGTACAGTGTAGAAGAGCAGCAAATCTGAGAGAAGCTCAGGATTACTGATGTGGGTACCTGGGACGCAAGCCACCAGAGTTGAGAGGGTATTGGGGATCGCTTCCTGGAAAGAGGAGATGCCTGAGTTTTAATGTCCAGGGTCTGCAGACAGACTTGTGTGTTGCAGTCAGGCATGGTAGCTCACACCTGAAATCCTAGCCTTTTGGGAGGCTGAAGTGGGAGGAATGCTTGAAGCCAGGAGTTTGAGACCAACCAGAGCAATATAGCAAGATCCCATCTCTATAAAAAATGTTAAACTTAGAGGGATGAGGTGATACATATCTGTAGTCTTAGCTACTTGGGAGGCTGAGTTGGGAAGATCATTTGAGCCCAGGAGTTTAAGGCTGCAGTGAGCTATGACTGTACCACTGCACAAGTGTGTTGTGTCTGTAATTGTTACAAAGTGAATAGTAACAAAAAACTGTGAAAATAATATTTCAGTATTCAAAAACTACTATTAATTCAGCAAAGATGTCACTCGCATCACACTTTCCACTACCTACTTATTAGTTTACATGTTTCTTGGCTGTCTGTAGCATATGAGGGCCATCTCACATAAGGTCCACTACAGCAGTACTTGTCTGCCTGCTCCCTAGTGTGTCCTTTGCATTTGGCATAGTACCCGGCACATAGTAGGCACTCAATAAACTGTTCATTCACCAACATCTATTGTTGTCAGACAGTGATTTCAGGTTTATCCCAATCATTTTCCCCTCAGCACAGCCAATGTGCAGGGGTCTTTTTAGAAATAAGACTGTGAAGGAAGCTAGGAGAAAATACAACTTGGGGAGGAATCTTTAGTCCCATTACTGGGTATATACCCAAAGGAAAACAGATCATTCTACTGAAAAGACATATGCACTTGTATGTTCATTGCAGCACTGTTCACAATAGCAAATACATGAAATCTGCCTAGGTGCCCATCCATGGTGGATTAGAGAAAAGTGGGCTACATATGAAGCATGGAATACTACACAGCCATAAAAAAGAATGAAATCATGTCCTTTGCAGCAATGTGGATAGAGCTGGAGGCTATAATCCTGAGTGAATTAATGCAAGAACAGAAAACCAAATACCACATGTCCTCACTTATAAGTAGGAGCTAAACATTGAGCATATAAGGACATAAACATGGGAACAACAGACACTGTGAACTATTAGGGGGGAAGGGAGGGAAGGGCGTGAGGGTTGAAAAACTATCTACTGGGTACTATGCTCACTACCTTAGTGCAATATACCCATGCAACAAGACTGCACATGTAGTCCCTGTATCTAAAATAAATGTTGAAAAATTTTTTAAAAAGAATAGTATTTTCATGAGGACTAAAACACTTACTTAGCACAGTATTTGGCACAGGGTAAGTGTTAAATAAATGAGTATTAGCAATTATCATTTTAGGTGTTTGTCAAAAAACATTCTGACCAAAACTTGTAAATAAATTGAATTTTGTGGCTCCATATAAATATCCTTTTAAAGGATAGGAAAGCAAATCCCATGTTGAAATTTGCCTATGAAATCCTATATCTAATAGCTTAATATGCTCTTAGGCAAAAAAGTCATGAGACATTTTGTAGTCCCCGAAATTTCCCAATTAAGTTAAATAGATGACTATTTAATCAATTCAAAAAGTAAATATCTGCAAGACAAATCTAGCAAAGGATCATAAGAAAACAAATGAGATATTTACCAAAGAATCAACATCTCATAAAAAATTAAAATCACACCTGGAACATCTTAAGAAACTTTCACCAAAATTAGTCAGATCAGGCTCTTGTACTACTGACATTTTTATTTTAACATCTAACTTTTATATTTTAAAGAGTAATAATGAAGTTTCATAGCAAAAGTTTTATTTCTATCTCTTGTGATTTTTTCCCATTTGATACGCCCCAAACTACAATTTCAATAATACCATTAAAATCTTGGGTAACAAAGACAGTATGTAATTACCTGATAAATTCGAAAGATATGATGAACCAATCTAAGTAATTTTGGTTTAAAAAAAAATCTTATTTTTAAGATGCTTTTGGATTCAAATATTTCCCTTGACCATATATTTTATTTTTTCTGTACAGAAAATATTTAGGACATTCATTTTATATCCACGCTTTGCATCACTTGACATTTCAAAATGATACCTTTCTTCTTTGGGTTGGGTAAGCATTCATGCTCTTCTTTGACAGAGATTTTACAACTCTTTATCCGACAGAAAAAAGATCGTCTTGAGCCAGAATAAACATGTGTCCTTCCAGTGTGGAAATTACTGTGAACTTGCAAACCAGCTTTTGTAGCAGAAGGGGGTGAGAGAACAGGTGGAAAAGAATATTGTCAAATAATTTTGAAATTTATCTTCCAACATTTTCTGATCATCTATTATTGAGAAAGGAAATAGTTTTTTAAAGCAATGGCATGATTGTACAGTAAACCCTAAAGTGAAACACACCCAAAAAATGTATTTGTCAAGCAATCACATTTTGATAACTTATAGACATTTGCAATTTATCTTTCTTTTTTCCCCAAATGGGGAAGAACAAAGTTAATTTAAGTGAAATGAAATAAAAATTAAATTAAAAAATGAAAAAAACCTCAACTATTACAGGAATCAATTGTTTTATATTTCATATAATTATTTGGTACTAGGCATTTTCAGAGAAGAAAAAATACTTACACTTCCCAAATGCAATTATACAAGGTCTTTCATACAGAAAAGACCTAATCCATATACAAAGGAGGATAATTGTCTTTTAGCATGTAGCTAAATAATGGGAACTTCAGCAATTTTTTATCCAAAATGACACTTTCTTGTAAGGATTTTATTTGTATATGAAAAATAGCAAATATGAAGGAATCATATTTTCCCCAAACAAAGCATCTTCATATGAATGCATTTGTGTTTGTATATGTCTGTATGAATATAGGAATTTTCTATATAGCTATATATATTAACTATGATATAAAGTTTACAAAATAATTCTCGTTTGATAAAAGCTTAGTTAGCTGTATTAAAAACACCGTGTAGCTAAACTTTTAGGTGATCATTACATTTACATAAAATAATAAGCATGCAGAAATGGACACTTACTTTTGGCATCTATTAGCTTTTCTCTTGGTGAAATATCAAAAGAAGAAAGTTGTTCCTTTACTTTGGCAACATCTTTTGGATGCAAGAAGTCAAATAAGCTTTGTCCAGTCAAACTAGCCTATTCATAAGGTAGACATTCACTTAAAATCAGTATCATGCTTTTTCTACATTTCTTGATGCATACAATAAATGTCCTTTTTTGTTAAAGGTTGATTTTTCTCAAGCTCAAAGATACGTTCACAACACCATGTGACATGAACTTAGTGTTCAAAGCAGGGTGATACTTGTACACAGAAAAAAATACATGCATATAGAACCATCCCTGGATATACACAAACCATATACAAACACTAATTGCTAGTATTCCGCTAAATCTCGTAACTCTTGTTAACATGATACTTGGAAATGATTGTGATTTGTTTTGAACTTTTTTGTCCTTGTTAAAAAAAAGAGATTACATGATAGTATAATATAGAAATCACAGAATATCTGTGACTTTATCAGACATTTACCATACTGTTTAAAAAATTACCATACTATTGATAAGTAAAATCCAACCCAGAATACCTCTCACTTCCCATTCCACCACTCCCAATATGCACAGCATCCCCAGGTCTATGCCTTTGCTGATACAGTCCCATTCCTCAGAACTCACCACCCCTTCCCTATCCCTTGGCCACTCCAGCCAAATTGCCTTTGACTCCCTACACTTCGGGACTCCCTTCTTTCTCCCAGCCTGAAATGTTTCCTCCCCTTCTCTATATCTCGCTTCTGCCAAGCCTCGCAGACATCCTACTTCATGTGTGATGCCTTCCCTGACCCATAGTGGCCACCCCTCTTCTGAATTCCTGTATTACCCAAGCAAACATTCCTACAGACAATAGGACTAATGGACCAGCCAATACAAGTAGGCTGAATTGTTTGGCAGTTAGACATTTCATTCTAAAAAAAAACCTGCGTGGTTAATATAAGTCTATATCCAGAACTCTCTAAGGTGGATCAAGTTTCTGAATCTGAAAAGCAGAGGACTAAACCCTGAATCATGGGAATCCCTACGTGCCCCTGAGCAGCCAGTGAGTCTCTAAAGAGCCTCTTCTTTGCAAAGTCAGTGCCCACTAGGACTGGATTCCACGTCACTAACTTGAAACTTAAGTGATACCCTAAACTGTCAGTCACCTGTGTGTGTGGGTGTGTGTGTGTGTGTGTGCATGTGTGGGTGTGTTTTCCATCTCCAATTAGAATATGGAATCATGAGGTTTGAATACCTGATCGTAATTAAGTATTTTGGAGACTGACTTAGAAACGAAGAGAATTTTTCCTCTTTCACATCCAACCACAAATAAGAAGCCTTCTGCAGTCTAGGATTTAAGAAAATAAAAGTGAATATTTAAAAATATTGTCTGTCTCTTATACACACACACACATTCAGATTCTGAGGGAGTTATTGTGGCAATAAAACTAACAGACTAGTTTTATTGAGCTAGTTTTCATGGAGCTAGTAAGATTAATTTTAAGAAATGTTCTTAAGATGCAAACCGATTTATAAAGAACGTCATGTTGAAATCTTATTCTAAATTAATGTTTTGGACATGAAAAGTTTGGCTGCAGAATATTTACTTGAGACATTTCTTAAAAAATTAGGCCAGGTGCCATAGATGAGCCTATATACAGCACTAAATGAGCCTATATCCCAGCACTTTGGGAGGCCGAGGCAGGCGGATCTCTTGAGCTCATGAGTTTGAGACCAGCCCGGGCAACACTGGCGAAACCCTGTCTCGACAAAAACTAGAAAAATTGGCTGGGCGTGGTGGTGCACGCCTGTAGTCCCAGCTATCAGGAGGCTGAGATGGGAGGATGGCTTGAGCCCAGGAGGCAGAGGATGCAGTGAGCTGAGACTGCACCACTGCATTCCAGCCTAGGCAACAGAGCCAGACTTTGTCTCAAAAAATAATAAAAAAAAATAAAATTACCTTTACGAAATCCTACTATACTGCATGCAGAACGATTACCTGTGGATGTGTTGAGGTAGGAGGACTGTGCAGATTGGGGACAAGGAAGCAATGAAGACATCACACTGTACACCTAGTTATAGTTTTTGAATAATAATAAGGCATCACTCGTTCTAAACTAATGTGTCAGCTACTCTCATAAGGTCTACCCAGCAAATCCCATGAAGCAGCCTGCATGGAAGTGGGAACATATGGCCACATAGGAAGAGCCTGGCACTCCTGCTGGGCATGCTCTGCAGGGCAGAAGCAGGGTTCCATGAAGGTGTGACTGACGAACATGTACAGATTGGTCAGAAAGTTTTGAAAGCAAACCGTACATTTTGCCACCTTCAAAAATTTTTGTATCCATACAATATCCTTTATATCCCTGCCAGGAATGCTATATTTAAATTCAGCTGTTTAAATAAAAGAGTGGCTTTTTTTAATTAAAGGAAAAATGGACAAAAATGTGTACGAAGAATCTTTCTATTTAATTCGACTATCGCTTAAAACCTAGTAGTCACACAGCTCACGACCAAGACATTTATCACCTCCGAGGGCATGAGAAGCCAATCACATGATCACAGTTTCCTCTCTAGACCGGTGAATCTGAAAAGCCATGCCCAGGAAATGATGAGGACAGAAATGTCAAAGCACTAACAACTCTAAGCAAGCAATGACTGGCCTCCGAGAAGAATAGGATCCTGAGGGAACAGGATGTCAGGCTGACGGCTTTGAAGGAGGTGGTGATCATGGCGAATAGATCCTATGTGTGAGAGGTGGGTAGTATAACATACTTAGCGCTGAAGACAAGCTTTGCTCTGTAGTGTAGAAAGTGCCTATCCTCTGTCTCTACTTTCATTAACACAAACTAGTAACACATGGCTACTTCTCTATTTTAAATTTCTGTATTAAAGGAAATATGGTGTAACATGGAGTCTTGCATGTTTATAACAGGAAGCAAATGGAAGAAAATCTGCCTCGTATTCAAACAGCAATGAAAGCACATATACAACTTAGACAAATACATCTTCAGTTACCTTAAGGATTAAATGTCTGAGCTCATTATCCTGAATAAATGATGGTCTACAATTATTTCCCACATAAGAATGTGTCATGCCTAAAAAGAAAGGAGTCAAGAGTTATTGGAAATATAGTAGAGAGGGCAACACGCTCAATGAACATTAGCAATGCCGCTGCTGCTGCTGCTGCTATTTTTTCTTTTGGCACATTCTAAGACATTTTCTGTCATCATTTTCTTTTTTTTTTCCATTTTCATTTAATTACTTAATTTATTTTTGAGACAGAGTCTTACTCTGTTGCCCAGGCTGAAGTGCAGTGGCACCATCTCAGCTCACTGTAACCTCCACCTCCTGAGTTCAAGTGATTCTCGTGCCTCAGCCTCCTGAGTAGCTGGGATTACAGGCATGCAAAACCACACCCGGGTAATTTTTGTATCTTTATTAGAGCCAAATTTTCACTATGTTGGCCAGGCTGGTCTTGAACTCCTGGCCTCAAGCAATCCACTCACTCAGCCTCCCAAAGTGCTGGGATTACAGGTGTGAGCCACTATGCTCAGCTAATCATTTTCTTTCTTCATTATCACTTGATTAAAATTTATTTCTTTTAGATTGTGAATTCTTGGAACTACTTATTCCTTTATATTCAAATATGCACATTAAGAGCTATATATAAAAACATTGTAATAAACTGTACATGAAATAATATTCAAGAATTGACATGCAGTAGTCCCCCCTTAGCTGTGATTTCAGTTACCTGTGGTCCACCGTGGTCTGCAAACAGGTGAGCACAATACAGTAAGATATTTTGAGCGAGCCAAAGAGAGAACATATAACTTTTTTACAGCATATTGCTAAAATTGTCCTAGTTTATTATTAATGTTAATCTCTTACTGTGCCTGATTTATAAGTTAAACTATATCATAGGTATATATGCATAGGAAAAAAAGTGCTATGCCTAGGGTTCAGTACTACCCACAGTTTCAGGCATCTACCAGGCTCTTGGAACATATGCTCCATGGATAAGGGGGAACTACTACAGTTATTTAGATAATGTCTCAGCTAATTAAAGTTGATCATATGAGTTACCTTGAAAGGGGATATTCTGGAATTCTAAACAAGTGTTACGGATTCATGAGATTTTCCAGTAAGAAAACCCTCTAATGGCAATATAGAGACCTCTATTCTGATAATACACAGATTATTTTAGAAATGTATAAAATATAAATGAAATAATTCATTTTCAGCCCTTAGCACTGAGTTATATTAAAATGGAAGTCTCTAAAGCAGCTGCAGAGCTTGTAAAATGATGAGGAATTATCAGGCCAAAACCAAGGGGAATGTTTGACCTGAGAGGAGTAAGGGAATCCACCAACCCAGACATGCAAAGCCCCTCAAGGCCACAAGGGGGCATATGACACAGTCAACAATGCCAAGCAAGCCATCCCCAGGGCAAGGATGATTCAGAAGTCAGTCAATTTTCCCTTCCTTATATTCCCCAAACTTCTTGACTCCTATCCCCTCTTCCTGGGTACTGTAAGAAAAGTTGCTTTTGCACGGGAAAGGTGGGGTAACATCCTTAGACATTTTAACCACACATTGGCCCTTGGATGGATCTGTGGCCCAAACTCACCAATGAACTAAGTGGTGGTGGTGGCAAAGTAATAGGCGGGGCAGAAAGTCAAAATGCCTCGTGCTATGATTCAGTACAGTTTTCTCAGACTCATAGCACTCTAAAGAGCCTGGCATAGGGAAAAGAAAATCTCTTCTGTTGGAATCTATCTTCACCCTAGGGCTCAGGGAATTCTCCCAATGACTTCTTGTTAATATTACTACATAGCAGCTTGGGAGGGTGCTAAGGAAGGAATGAAGGACGCAGATTCTGAGTGCTAGGTCAGGGAACAGCAATAAATTGATTCTGAGCAAGGTAATGACATTTCAGGTCTGGTCTGCAGCAAGGTTGGCAGAGCGCACCAGGCAGAAGTGGGCTGGGAAACCCTGTCAGTGTAAATCAGCCAGCACAGGCGAGCCTTGACTCAGTGAGTGAGTGGGAATGTGCTCAAGAGAAAACAAGGGCAGTGAGAGCAGTGCTGAGGCATGGTAGAGGCCGGCCCGCAAATGCAAGCTGTGGTGTTCCACATACTTGTCCACACATTGGCTCTCAGAGTTCCCATGGCAAAAACCAACGAGGCAACATGATCACTTACTTTTTTCACAATGTTCATTGGGTTAAAAAACAAGATAAAAATGACAGTAACAATTCCTCCTCCTCTTCTTACCCCACCCCCACCATTAGTGAACACTGTGCTACACTCTACATGCATTACTCTTTACTTTTTTTTTTATTATTATACTTTAAGTTCTAGGGTACATGTGCACAGCGTGCAGGTTACATACGTATACATGTGCCATGTTGGTGTGCTGCACCCATCAACTCGTCAGCACCCATCAACTCGTCATTTACATCAGTTATAACTCCCAATGCCATCCCTCCCCTCTCCCCACACCATAATAGGCCCCAGTGTGTGATGTTCCCCTTCCCATGGCCAAGTGATTTCATTGTTCAATTCCCACCTATGAGTGAGAACATGCGGTGTTTGGTTTCTGTTCTTTACTCTTAACAATAGTCCCAGGAGGCAAATGCATTGTCCCTATTTCACAGATGCGGAAACCTGAGAATTAGAATGTCAAATAACTTGAGTAAGTCACATAGCTATGAAGGGAGGAAGCCAGGATTTGAACCACAAGGTCTGCCTTCAGTACGCACACGCGTGAACCACCGCGCTCCACTGCCCTGCCTGGTAATCAGATCACAGACAGAGGACCTCATGCTACAGAGCAGGGCTACTCCAAATGTGGTCTGCAGACCAGTGGTTTTCTTACCAGCAAACTGGTAAGATCGAATGCAGAATTTAAGAATAAGCATTTAGAGGCTTTTATAAAAATGTAACATTGCTGTGACAGCCAAACCCATGATCATTTTTCCATAATTAATTGTATTTTACAATGAAGTGGTGGTGGATGGGAGAAACACCTGTTCTTCACCCAGATAGTTTAAAAAGCACTGCTGTAGGGTATAGTGAAAAAAATCACATCACCATCCTTCCGCCTTTAACCTAATTATCCTATGGACCAAAATAACATGATCCACAGGCAGCCCTCTGTTGATATGGCTTCTAAGCTTTTGCCGAGCAAGTGTGGGGATGCTGCGACAATACCCTGGAATGCAGATCCAGTTGCCTTAGATCATCTTGCTGTGAGCAGCACTGACCAAAGGATCTGGTCAGACTGCGGGGATGAGTTCTCAACCATGTCACTTCTGCTTAGCAGAGCTGACGGCAAAATTTACGCCCTGTTCCAAGGAATCTCCTTTGGACTCCCCTCCTCCCTGCCGAGTTTCCACAGCCTCTCCTCTCACTCGTATCACTGCTGTAACATTCATCACACTAGACTCTGACGATCTCTTCCTAAGTCAGTCTTCCTAGTCAGTTCACAAACCCTTAAAGGGCAGAGACCTTGCCTCATTAATTTTTATATTGTCAGCACAGAACAGGAATGCGGCTGACGCTCAGATCATGTTTTGTTGAACTAGTCCACTGATTCATGGCTTTTCCCTTAGGTTCTCCTCCCTTAGGACACTGCAAATGTGAAAATACTCAGCTAATTTTAGGGTTGCAATCAAATGACCTCAGTTGAGCCTGTAAATTTTCATTGCTGAAGGATTTAAGGAAAATATTGCAAGCCTCAGCTGTGGGTAAAAGAGAAGCTTATTTCATAACAGACTGTTACGAAAGTAAGATCTCCCATCACGCTCCCAACAGGAAGCACCAGGAGTCCAGGTTAGTGCTGCTCTCCTCTTAGCCAGCTTAACTTGACTTGGTAAAGTCCTTGTATGGTGCCCAGATAATTTCCATTACCCTGAAATATATTTTCCTTTTCCTGGCAGTGTTTGAGATCTAAACTAAGACCCTTGGTCATCCTTTGCTCACTCCCTTTTTATGATTTTTGAGCCAAATTTTACTATAATCTTCTAGATCTTTATAGATCTGCACTTGCAGAGTCTCCTCTGGAGTCTTCAGCTTGCTACTTGTCCAGGTCTTATCTTTTCCATGCAAATTTACATCATCAGCATTGATAAATCGAAAACTCTATTTCACTTCCATCACCCTGTCCCCCAAGTTGGACTGGGGTTATTCCCAAACCAGGGGTGATTTCTACTGCACATGTTGATATGGTTTGGCTCTGTGTCCCCACCCAAATCTCATGTCGAAAACTAATCCCCAGTGCTGGAGGTGGGGCCTGGTGGGAGGTGATTGGATCATGCTTGTGGATTTTCCCCTTGGTACTGTGTGGCAATAGTGAGTTCTCATGAGATCTGGTTGTTTAAAGCGTGTGGCACCTCCCCGACCCTCTCTTGGTCCTGCTCCTGCCATGTAAGATGCCGGCTCCCGCTTTGCCTTCTGCCATGAGCAAAAGCTCCCTGAGGCCTCCCAAGAGGCAGATGCCACCATGCTTCCTGCACTGCCTCTGGAACTATGATCCAATTCAACTTCTTTTCTTTATAAATTACCCAGTCTCAGGTATTCCTTCATAGCAATGCGAGAATGGACTAACACACAGGTACATATACACATTTATTACACTCTGATTTAAAAGTCAAGCTCAAATTGGGGAATTGCTAAAGCCAGAAATGATGACCTACACACCAAGAGGCATTGGCAAGGACCTCCTTCCCCCAGTGTCTCACATATTTGAGGATACCCTGGAATGGCAACGTGTGATGCATTGTAAGGTACTACTGATAAATCTGAATGAAGCCTTAAGAGAAACTGCAGAGTTTAAGGAAGTTTTCTTTTTGAAGGATAGAAATCTCTCAATAACTTAATAATTAATACTATCCTTCAGAACTTTTTTTTTTTTTTTTTGACAGGCTGTCACCCAGGTTGGAGTGCAATGGCACGATTACTGCTCATTGCAACCTCCACCTCCCAGGCTCAAGCGATCCTCCCACCTCAGCCTCCCAGATAGCTGGGATTACAAGCGAGCATGACCACTCTTGGCTAATTTTTGCATTTTTTGCCCAGGTTTGTCTCGAAGTCTGGACTCAAGCGATCCACCCACCTCAGCCTCCCAAAGTACGGGGATTACAAGCATGAATCACCATGCCCAGTTCTCCTTCAGAACTTCTAAAGAACTGAGAGGTATGAAAGGCAGGTGATATTCTCTTCGTATTATATGTGAAGCAGAAATGTAAATACTTTTCAAGTTTGCATAGTGAGCTCGAGATAAAGCTTTTATCAGAACCCAGTTTTCTGACATCCAATTCAGTATTCTCTCCACACATAGACTATAGACAAATGCCAGTGAATACCCGTAAAGCTGAAAGACACATCTGGATAGAACCTCAACAGCTGACAGCAAAGCGAACCAATCAGAGACCTCAGTGACAGAGCAGATTTCACTTAACTGTGGAAGCCGTCGTCAAACTCACCTTTTAAAGATCTCAAGTGCTGAACAGCCATTCTTAAAACTGTAAGTTTGTCCAGTTTACGCGCCATGGGGTTGCACTGAGGGATCATTGCAGACAGTTCTTCAATCAGGTTATTCATTTTATCTCTCCTCCGCTTTTCGGTTTGGCTATGAGCTTCTCTAAGAGGGAAAAGGAACTTCCTTTATATTTAACATTCGGCAGACCTCCTGACCCCCACCCGTGGCGCTCAGTGGAGCAGATGCTGAGCCCAGCAGGCACACACTGTTCTTCCTCCTAACTTGGGTCCCTGCAGTTGTCATTGAGGGAAGGGGAAAGCGCGGCTGAGACCAGGAACAGCATTCATAAAACTCGCTGCCCTTGGTCAGTCCCTCCCTACCTCATTTTCTGAAATCTTTAAGAACGAAGACAACTGTCTGAGAGCCTAGGTGGTTTTTCTACCTGTCTCCAATATTAGAGAAGAGATGGGTGCCCTTTTGTTCAAAGCTAACTATTCTCTTGCATTTGCATAAATAGTTGTCAGCATCTTAACCTCATTATTTTTATAGCTCCTTATCATGGGTCTATTAATGTGCTCAAGTATCTTCCCCCCTGAAAAAAAATCCTTTCCCTAATTCTAGTTGTTTTTTGTTCTTGCTACTGTCTTGCCCCCTCAGCAAGCTCCCTGAAAGAGTGCAGTTTCCACTCAGTCTTTCATTTCCCAGGCATTCTGTCCATCTGTAACATCAACCTTAAACAACCCCTGCCCCACTAAAACTGTCCTAGCGAAGATCGTTCTTCTCTCTTGCAATCTCTTGCTGATCCCTGCCTTGAATCTGACACTGCTGACACTTCTCATTCTCCCCTGGTTTCCACAGCCTCTCTGCCTCCTCGTCCTCCTCCACTCTCCCTGCTCGGCTCAGTCCCCTCGCCTCCTCACCCAGCTCTTACTTGATCCTTAAATATTGGTGTGTACTAAGATTCCCTGCTCAGCACCGCTCTCTCCTCACTCTTTATTCACCCTGAGATCTCATTCCCTCACAAGGCTTTACAGCTACTCATAAGCTACTTGTTATTATAACCCTATCTCATTCATACTTCACTCAGCTCCTGACCTATGGAACTAGAATTACAAATCTAAACAATTCTCAAGAAATCTAAAACTCAGGAAACCCCAAACTGAATGCATTCTCTGCAATGTACCCCCATTTTCAATTCTTCCTGTACGACTCCTGATTTATTATTCCTTCTATAGGGTTTATCTTGGTTGGTAACACAACTGCTCAGTCTAGACCAAGCTTGTCCAAACTGCACTCCAGGATGGCTTTGAATGTGGCCCAACTCAAATTCGTAAACTTTCTAAAAACATTATGAGATTTTTTTTTTTTTTTTTTTTAGCTCAGTAGCTATCATTGGTGTTACTGGATTTTATGTGTGGCTCAAGACAATTTTTCTTCTTCCAACGTGACCCAGGGAAGCCAAAAGATTGGATACCCCTGGTTTAGAACCTTCCTCTTCACCCTAAAAAGCCAAATAATCACAAACTCCTGTCAATTCTAGATCTTAAAATATTTCTTAAACATGTCTTCTCTTCCTCTCCATTCCCTCTGTCACCATCTTAATTTAGGCTCATTGCATTACCCCAGAACCTTTTAAACTGTTGTTCCTTCCTCTCCCAGTCTATCCTATGCCTTCCGGAATTATGTAGTAAAACAAATCAAGTCACCTAATCCCATTGCACAAAACTGTTCACTGTACATCCACTGCCCAAGAGGACTAGCCAGATTCCCTAATTATAGGCCAAGGTTCTCCCTGACCCGCCTCATGTCTTCATCTCCAGTTTTTCTCTTCAATACTTTTCCCGACAGCTCCACATGTCCCACAGGAGCAACGTGCGAAGACTTGCTCGTCCTCACACACGCCATGCTGTCTCACACCTCCTCCATGCCTTCCTCTTTACCTGGCTTACAAAGTCCTTTCTGACTGCACTGTTGGAGAAATCCTATTCGTTCTTCAAAATCCAGCTCAGTTATTCTTTTGGGAAGCTTTCTCTGACTACTACATGATTAATCACTGCTCTCTCTAAGCCACCTCAGTACCTTTCATACCACCACCCCTACTTCATCAAATCTAAGAGCCACCAATTGTAAGACGCACGATTATTTAAAGCATCACAAGAGAAAGAAATGCTGCCAACTGACAGGAAGATGCCACTGATAAGAAATTTCCACAGAAGATAAAACGTAGAGGGGAAAAGTGTATCTTAGATTTCAAGAATTACATGATTTTACTCGTCACACTTTGCTGCAAATCCCTCTCCTACAACACACAGAAACTCCGGAATTTCTCTATTAGAATAGATTAGGGGCAATCTGATGGGAAAGAGGGTAAGTGGGAGACTTCCCTGATCTGTTTTTACAAAGACTTTAAATTGGATAAAAGAAAATGTAATTTTTCCAGATAAAAGAGTAGGGAGGTGGGTAGGGAGGAACATCAACGAAGGCTGTGGGAGCTAACACACTCCCTGCCCCAACCATTCACCCTTGGCAGTGACACGCCTGGAACAAAATACATACTGTTGGATGAAGTGGATAGGATTCCAATTAGATGTGTATTCACATAAAATTCAGTTATCTACTCATACTTTGTTCTATTTGTGAGCAATTAGATATTTTTCTTTTTCATTTTAAAGTCAAGGTCTCACTCTGTTGCCCAGGTTGCAGTGCAGTTGTATGATCACAGCTCACTGCAGCCTCAAACTCCTGGGCTCAAAGGATTCTTCTGCCTCTGCCTTCCAAGGAGCTGGGATTACAGAGCATCTCGATTAAAATGAAAGTGTTATGATTAAAAGAATATTGTAGTTACACTCTCACTAGAAGGATCACCTCTTCTTTCTAACAGTGTTCCCCATCAGCATGGACAGCAGCGATGGATAGAGACGCCTGACTCCAGGATGTACAGCAGAGGAAGGGGTGCTCTCTCTGAGCCAGGATCTGGAGAGAGATGAGAGCAGGGTGGGAGAAAGCCCACGGTGGAGAAGGTGAATGATGATGCCGGGAGCCAGGAAACCCAGGGCAAGGTGAAAGAACCAATGTCTGAACAAGGTACTTTACTTGAAGGAGCTGCACCTGAAAAGGTTTCTGGAGGCTTTCATTAAGGAAAGGCATAATTCTCCAGAGGCCAGCTCTCTGCTTAATACTTCATCAGAGCTCTGGCTCCTAATTCTGTGTACAGTTACTGCCACTTTGAACCACAGCAGTATTTTGTAGAATCCTATCAGAAAACAAAATAAATGGGGAAAAAGCAAAACTCTGATAGGCCATGTTGCCAGATGGAGAAAAATATTTTGTTGTTGTTGTTGAAAAAACATGTTGAAATAATTGACAAAGAACTTACGAGGATGGGTTTCCAACAGTCAGATGCTCCTCATAAGTAACTGATTTGTTTAAGTCATGAATCAATTTTTCTTTAGTGCTTAAAGAAAATATTCTTTTTTTTGAAAAAAGCTATTCTAAGAGAAAGTTAAAGGCATGAAAGCCAAAATGTTATCCAAGTAGACAGAAAAGCAAGACAAAAGGTGCCTGATAACATTGCTTCTCAGAGCATAACAAGACAAAAAAGTCTCATCTTCAAGCCCTTCTATCTTGGCGTCACCTTTGCCTTAGGCTACAGGCTTGCCTTTGTGTACCTTTCCACTCACCATGTACCATCTCAACAAGTCAATGTACCTGAAGGCCTTCATTTTAACTTGGTGTTCACCATCTTCCACTCTACAAAAAAGCAGGATAAAATATCAAACTACATGAAATACCTTTTCTGTAGTTCTT